CAGTCACAAGATGTGGGAGCTGTTAAAATACATTCAGTCCCCTGCAGTCATGAGAACAGGAGAGCCAAAAGGTCCAGTATTCTTGAACAACTAATGTTTTAGTCTTCAGTAGTAGCACGAATGTCATATAGAATTACATTATTTAAAACCTCTGTACATGGGAGCAAAGTGCCTATACATGTAGTGTCAGATATAAGCCATAAATAAAGGAAAGCCTCTCTTCACTGTTTATAGATTTAATGAGACCATCACTCATTAAAGCATAGTGGTATTTGAAACTGCTTTGATTATAAGACTAAAGCTAAACTTTCTATAGTGAAATTACTACTGTAAATGATGACTTAATTGTAATATTTTCAGAATCTATCAATCTATTTTAATCTTTTAACTTAATTGGGAATGTTGAGAAAATTAAATATCAACTGGATTCTGAAGCAAACGTAACATGGCCCCACAGCCTCAATCTTTTTGTTCAAGCCCTTTATGAGTATCCTTTAGAAGTAATTCACCAAACCAGAGCCTCAGGCATTTTAAAATCAACTACAACTGCTGTATGGTTTCCCAACAACAGTTCATAAAGCTTAGTTTTTCTATGAAGTGGAGTTTATTACAACATTAAGGAACAGTATTTAAACAGTCATTTTAATGGAGTATTTTACAAATCAATTGATACAGAGAAAAGCAAACACAATGTTGTTTTAAAGTTATTATCAATAAGCTACATTGTTAAGCTGTTAGCAAGGAAGTGTAGTACTGTAAACTAGCAATCAAGTATTGTAGTAACTTGCAGTTCAGAATGAGATGGTAAAAATACCAGACAAGCAAAAACATTTTTAAGATTTTTTGTACTCAATTCTTTCTACTTTCACATCATCTCCAATTAGTTGATAGACATATGTAACTACTGTAGAAGCCTGGATATCCATCAGCACAAATGAAGGAATGATGTTACTGGAAAGAGAGGAAAAAATTGATATTAATTGTGCATATATAATCAACTTAGCAGTGTTTTGCCACAACTTAACAGAAATAATCTAAGAAAAATGGATGTGGATTTTGTAAGCACAGTACGTCAGATCTGAAGCTTTAAGTATTTCACTCACGTCTGTTTCAGTCAAGGAGATTTAGCAAGTACTATCAACCCCTCCTCTCCCCAACGTTTAGAATGCAAACATTAACCTTCATAATGAGTTTTGTAGTTCAGTTTTGTTATCAAAAAGAAAATCCCCACAGATACTTCCCATACTTCACTTACTTCTCTAAGGCATGATAGGCTCCTGTAGCTGATCCTGGATTGATATAGAACTTGTTTTCATGTTCAAATGCCTCAAATTTGTGTGTATGTCCTGAAATTAGGATGTCTACATCAAATTGCCTTTGTAACAGTGCCAGGCTGGCCATGTCACCCCAAGGAATAACCTGATGGCCATGAATCAACCCAATTTTGAACTGTCCAACAGTTACAACTTTCTGTTCAGGATAATTCAGGTTCTAAAAACAAAAAAAACACACAGAGATTAGATGTACAGATTTATATTTAAAAACAATTCTGTGCAACACCAAGAAGAGAGGGGGAAAGCTTATAGAAATATTCAACGTCATTTGTCCTACCGCTACAAAATGTGAGCTGTAAAGCTGCTTTTATGAACATTGTGGACAATGTGGTAGGATGCAAGGGACTTAAAAGATCTGACAACAGCAGGTCCTGTTTGCTGAAGTCCTAGGCATAGCCAAGTATGCACATTACTTTTATTCATACTGATGACAGATGAGAACTTACTGTGCAATTCACATTACTGATTGTAACCCCAACTCTTTTTGCCCAGTTTGCTTTTCACACGCTCTTAGTACTACATAACCTCAGTTTGCCCACTTTTACTTAAATTACAAAGAACCCAAATGTTGCCTTTTATGTAAAAGATGCACAAAAAAGTGTCATTATCAAGAGAGGACTCTACCTCATCAAAGTCCCCTCTGACAACGTGAACATCCCCAGCCAGAGTCTTGAGGTAGTCATAAGTGTCCTTGGTGCAGAGGTTTCCTGTGCAGAGGATGTGTTGGATCTTTCCTGGAACCAGCAGTTTTTTGAATTTGGCTGGGAGGCTGTTGCATCGATGTGGAATGTGAAGATCTCCTAATACTAACACCAACTTATCAGGTGTCATGACAGGAAAGAAAGATCGTTACAGATACTTATTAAGACAAGAATCATTAGGAAACAGAAAGCATTGCAATGTTTTCTTCAGTTTCATAACTTTGCATTTTGATGTAAAAGCTACTAAAATAAGAATGAAATGGTGATGGAATATTGCTATATTGAGGGAAAACAAGGGCCCTTCCTAACGTAGAGCATTATCCAGAGGAGGGCCTTAAAAACAGAACAGTCTACAGATTTATTTTTTTTATTTTGTTGCTGAAAGCCATTGCAAGGTCTAACAACAGAAATGCATTACTACTTGATGTATTTTACCCATTTTTGGGAACTACCATAAACTATCCCACTTTTTTTTTTTCTCCTTAAACATCCAAAAAAAACCAACATAGGACATCTCTAGTACATGTTCTCAAGCACAGACCTGGCTAAACTGTGGCCACTTCCCTTTAAAACTCTTCATCCAAGTTTGTTTCTACTTTAATTAACTGTTTTCTTCCTTATAAAAAAAAAAGAAAAAAGAAAAAAGAAAAAGCAGCACATTTGCAACATGTGTTAATAGCTGACCAGAATAGGAAGCTTGTTCAGGGTCCGTATTGTAGGAACCACTGAACAACAGCATAATATTAACAGTTTTAAAAAAAACAACAAAAACAATAAAAAAAGGGGGGGGGGCACTGCAGAGAAGATAAGGCAGACTACTGCACAGTGGTTCTATTACCAGTTCTATTTAATTTCAGTACAATAGATGCAAGGAGAAAATAAATTTAACAAGGGCTTCAAAATTAATGATTCAGATGAAGTAAGACTGTAGTTTAATATCACAGGCTTTAAATCTGCGAATAAAGAAATAATTAATGTGAGCAACACAGCAATAAATTAATTATGCAAAAAGGGCAGGAAAAGCTCTATAAAGCATGGGATGTTATGCCACTACACTGTAAAAACACTGGATCTAGAGACAGTCATCCCTGTTAACTTGATTAATAGCTCCATTTTAAAAAGAGACAGTTTATCTTCCAACCATAATGCTTTGTTAGTAAGACAGTTCCTAAAATGACAGCCATCAAATGCGTTTGTAAAAGACATGGCCCAGACAGATATATATAAAAGCAGTAGTGACTATGCTAAAAAATTACCTTTTTTAATAGTTGCTTTTTAAATTTTTAGGCCGTGCAGCTATCTTCATGCTAACAGTCATCAAAAAAGGCAGAGGAAACTTGGGTGGGGGTTTTGTTTGTTTGTTTGGGGGATATTCTTTGGTTGGTTGGTCTTGGGGTTTTTTTAGATTAAGAACATCTCAGTGCCACCATCAAAGCCATGCATCTTTGGAGAACAGATGCTTGAAAGTATCAGTAAAGCAATACAAGAGTTTTTTAATCAAGGAGCTACCATTTTAAAAGTAACCCAGGAGAGGGAAAAAAAGACACATTTCTGATGGTCTTTCAAGAGTTCCCAGTGAAAAATACCCTTACTAGCATCAGTCTAGAGATGATACACCTGAATGCGAGTAAAAAATGGGTAACAAGCAATTCTGATTATTAAAGTGGCAATAGATAGATTCTCTTAGTGACACTTAAGGGGCTTAGACATGCAACACTAGTTATGTATTGAAGGTTTAATAAAAGTATACTGCCACTTAAAACAGATAACCCCACTGAAGTCAGCAGAGTGTGTGCTTTCAACCAAGATCGCTTCCTTTGCTGGCAAACTGGCAGGCCCCATATTTTCCCCCAAATCATGTCTGAGCTTCCATTAACTAAAAGAAAAGCTTGGCAAGCTACAATAACAACAATTAAAAGCACTGAAGTGTGTTTAATAATCACAGGTATCTGCAACGTAAAATAGTGGCAAAGAACGTTACAACACCTGGCTTTTACTAGGAATTTAGGTGCAATCCTGAGCGTGGCTTGAACAGCAGCCCCTAATTCATTTGTACCGTCTGACGTTCATATCATCCAGTAACATTAACAAGCCCTTACCACCGGTGTTAGCAACAGCCAAGAGGAGTAAACTTACTCTGTGCCCAGCCTTATTGGAATGGAGAAGTTGATTGCAGACAGGGGGGAATGAAAAACAGGGCGAAACATGATCAATGTTAAACAAAAGAAAGCAACAGAAAAGAAAATATAGCCAAATGAATAGGCAAATAATAATTAATGGATTGTTGATGTTATGAGAGAAGCGTTAAAAAAAAATAAAAAAAAAAAATATATATATAAAAAAAACCGGCTCCTTCGCGCGGCCCCGGCAGCTCTCCCGCCGCTGACAGCCCCTCAGCACGGCCTCCTCACCACCGGCGGGCCCTCACCTGCTCTCCGCGCTCCCCTCCCGCCCCTCCCTCTACCTCAGCTCGGCATTAGGCGGATTTTTGGGCGGCGACTGACACTAAACGTCCCCCGAGCGCACGTTCAGCACGGCCGTCGGCCGCGGATCGCCCTCCCGCCGCGCCGCGGGGGCCCAGCGCCCACCAGGCCCGACGGGCCGCGGCCGGAGGAAAACGAGCCTAATGCCCTCCGGCGCGGCGGGGAAGAGGGGCCCGGGGGTGGGGGACGGGGCGGCCCCGCCGCTCACCATCCTGCTCGGCGCCGCGCTCTCTCACAACAGCCGCTGCGGCTCCTCCCGGAAGCCAGGCCGGCGCCAACCACCCGCTACGGCGCCTCCGAAGGGCCAACCTAGCCCGAAACGCGTTTCTCCGCAGCCACACACCCCACCCCCCTCCCCACCCCCCTCCAGTGACATCCGGGTCTCTGAAGAGCGCTTGGCCCGCGGAGGTGGGGAGTTCCCGCCTTTTTTGCAGTCGTGTGAGGGGAAGGGCGCGGTGGAGGCGGGGGCTTGGCAGCCGGTCATGAAGTGTGTCATTGCGGGGGCTCATCTCAGAGGTACCCGTGGCCCCAGGGGAGGCAGAAGGCCTGGGACAGAGGGGGGTGTGTGGAAGAAACAGGCGCTCCAGAGTGGGGTGCCTCAGGGCAGTCCAGCTCAGCAGGGCCAGCGGCCATGGGGATGTGTAACTGGCCTGCTGGCACCCTGGGGTCACTGGCACTGCCCTCAGCAGGCTTCCCCGTGGCGGCTTTCAGGCTGTGCAGAGTGGGACACGAAGCACTGGGACCTGCGGGCAGCCCTTGTTGCGGTCACAGCAGAGCTGAGGAGCTGCCTTTTCCTCATCCCCAGAAGGACAAAAGCATTTTTGTGGGGCAACGTGCAGCCTCTGAAAATTGTTCAGATTAGAGAGCAGAGGCTGGATTTGTGGTACTTACTGGTGGAGAAGCCATTGCTTAGCTAGGTGCCTCCCTGTGCACACCGTTATACTTCCAGAGGCCCAACTAAACCTCCTGTGCGCAGTGTTTCATGCAAAGTGCTGTGTTGCCAGTGCCAGTGTGGGCAGAGGCAAATTTTGAGATCCACTGCTGATTTCTTCTGTGTTTCTTAGGGCTACATCTTTACAGACGCCCAACCGCTTACCACTTGCACAAACTTGTTGCCATCTACAAAATGTAATTTCTAACCTCGGTGGTGTTTTGTCCAATTAGATTGAATTAATTCGTGGTGACATAGGTCATGCCAGTTGCTGCAAAGGGACAGATGACATTTGAGGTGTGCCTCGTTGGAGGCAGCTTTCAGAAACATCAAGGTGTTTATGCTACTAAAAAGGAAAGAGTAATGTTTTCCACCATACCATGGGTTTTCTTTGAAACATGTAGGAAATTTGTAATGTTTCCTCTTAAATTATTCTGGAGAAAATACAGTATAACTTTTTTTTTAACTTTGCATACTGAACTGTTTTCTTTCCCTGCTAGTGTTTGGAAGAGCAATACATGCCATAGCACGTATTAGTGATGAATTTTCGTTTGACCCCATAGAAAAAGGTGTAAGTGAATTTGATTTATTGTAATTTGAAAATCTTTCTCAGAAGCATAGTATTTATGTTGTTGGATATTGTGTTGTTTTCCTAGAGGTACCCTTCAGTCTGAGCTACGTTTTCTCTCAGCTTCCTCCGCTTTCCATATGGACAAATGCCATATTTTCTTTAATTGTAATTATGGAGATTGCATTATGGAAGATTCATTCCTACTCTGCCCCTAGTATTCTTTGATTTTTTGTTACCCAAGCTGAAGCTTGTCCAGGACATCTGGATTAATACCAAGGGGTTTATTTCTGTTGTCATGGGTCAAAAGGTTTATGTTTTGTACCACATCAGAAGCTGCCTCTAAACAACATGTTTTTGTGATGGTATGACTCAACAGGAAGAATGCATCCATTAATACGCCTCTGATTAATCAAACACCATTTCCAGCAGAATTAGGGTTTTCTCTAGAGGTTTCTTAGTTAAAAGCAATCAACTCTCCTTAACTTGCTGGGAGGCTGGAAAATCAGAAGTGGAGATAATTTTTTTTTTATACCTGAAGAATTTTTGAGGTGCTAGTAGTGTCTTTCCTCATTTGTACCTATCATGTGGATGGGTGTACAGGAAGATTGTTTTAGAATAAAGTCCAATCCTCCAAATGCCTCAAATGCAAGCTGAGCTGTTAGTGTTTGGGTAACTCACACTTCAGGGCCACTTAAATGTCCATAGATTGGATTCCTATGCCTGTATCATACCAGTGACTTCTGACCAGTAATAATGAAGGTGCTAAGTTTGAACACGATTGTATCCATAACGCATCTATATTTATTTTGAGAGGTACACATTTAAAGGTTTTGTGGTTTAGGTGTGGTACTAAAGCACAGAGATGGTTTTTTTGTTAAAGGTTTGATATGAAATAGTTTTGAGTTAGTAAATTATTTTATTTATATTTTCAGCTTGCACTAAGATCAGTGAATTCTTCAAGGTCAGCATATGCATATGTCTTCTTCTCATCTATGTTTTTTCAACATTACTGCTGGAGAGCTGTGTCTCAACCATGTCAGAAGGAAAAACAGTTATCCCTCCCATGTAAATTGATAATTAAGGTACATTTTAATGAATTGTTATGCACAGCTTTGTAAGCAGCAAATTAGCCCAATTTCCAAATGAAATTATAGGGGGAGGCTCACAGAGGCATGTGGATGGCTCTAAACTCAAGCACTTCAGAGCAATTCCGCAAAAGAGAGCATTAGTATTTAATTATGTTTAGAAGTTGTACCTCCTGAGCTGTGCCCTGCGGTTCCCAAAGTCTGAACCAGCTAAATCTTGGGGTGAAGGAATACCACATTTATGCCTCTGGAGTGTTTCTCCTGTAGCCTTCAAAACCAGTATGAGCCAGGAGAGCTTTGACCAGTTGTTTAGCAAACAGATCTGTTGGCCACGTATTGGAATAGCGGGTGAGGATGGCAAGGATCAGTATCGGCTGCCTCAGTGTCTGCTTACAAAGCAGTTTGGGGAAGCCATAAAAGCAGGAGCTTGAGATAAACTGTATGAAACTAGGGAAATAATATTGCAAAACTGCTTGGTGAGTAACCTGTGCACTGGTTTTTATTTTACTTTTTTTACAGTCAGTTCTTCCTGTATTTAGATGTGTAAATGTGCTGGAAAGGAATGTAGAGAAATGCAGCATTTATACAAATATTAATGATCATCACGTAACTTTTCAGCTTCTCTGCAAATACGGTAGGTTACACATGAAGTGACTTTACAGAAACTGAAGCAGTTTAAAACAGCAGGGCAACACAATATTTAGTGTAATTAACTGAATGTTACCGATGGAATATTATACCAAACACTATTACGCCAAATACTTTCAGCCTCTTCACATCATAATTTATATTTATCATGTGCATCACCTTGTTAAAATGAAGTTATAACAGGCTTTATCAGATGAACGTTCTTCGCTTCAGTAGTTACTGCATGATATGTATTAATTGTCAGCCTAATGCTTACAACATTTAGAATTAGGCTGGAGTAAATTCTGAAAAAAAACCACATTATGGAAAGGGAGGGAAATCCTGTTTTGGCAGGTGTTTGAAGTAGAGGATTTACTGGGTCTTTCCACTTCTAATACTTGCAGTTCTTCAACACGGTAACAGGTCTGACATCCTTAGTCCAGCAGAACACCAGGTATATTCATCGGCATTAGTCTTTGCCAAACTCATAAAGAACCATCATCTATCAACATAGCTTGCTGAGCTGTGCTGTGTAATAGGCGGTGAATTATCTTATTAAAAATCTAGCTTGTATTACTAATAATGAGATGATATATTGAATTAAGTCTCAAGACAATTAAGCTCTCTTAGCTCATGCTTATCTAGAAGCACATTGAGATCTGTAGGCTTTGCCTTTTGTATTCCACCACCATTTATATTGTTATACCAGTTAAATATTGAAGCCTTTTTTTCCCCTGCATTTGTTGCACTTGTTGCCGTTCACTTATTTCTTGTGGATTCTTAAAAAACTCAGATGCTGGAGGGGCATAACTAATAGGATGAAGGAAGTCTTAGAAGGCAGGTTAATTCAGTTTTCTATTTGTGGGTGAGTTATTTCCACATAGCTAGAGTAAGTTGCTTGGTTACTTTCTCCATTGAGATTTCCTGAAAGAACAATTAATACTGAAAAAACATTTAAAATTACAGACCAGCATTGATTTTTGTTCATATCCTTTATACTTAGGTGTTGTAAAAACGTATAATCTGACGTGTCAAGAATGTGATCCGTTGCAGGCTGTTTTTGCAAGGCACATGTGTCCAAACATACTTAAAGTCCACTCCAGGTAATGAATACAAAAATATTTTTTCTGCGGAGAAAAAAAAACCAACAATCATACAGGCAGCAATACTGCTCTCATAGTCATTAACATAGTGAAAATCTGATTAGGGCACAGTAAAAAATGGCAAATTCCTAAATCCTGTATCCTAGTGCTTGATTTTTCACTTTACAACTTAAGAGATCATTCTGCCATTAATCCTACTCAGTCTAACCTTGAAAAGTGTGAAATGTATAATTTGAATTCACACTTTTGAGCAACTTGTGCCTATGACAAATAAAGTAGTGCTTTAATTTTATAGGTGAAGAGTCCGGTGGTAAAAGTACAATTTTTTTAATGCAATAAGGCAAAGTTCTGCTTTGAAAAGCAGCTCCTGGAGGAATCCAAGATTTGGCTTGTCATTGCAAGCAAAGGCAAAGAACAGTTAGACTTTGCTTTTCCTGACAGCATTTCTATTAAAAGTGTTTCTTGTGCACAGGAGCTCTTGTCACAATAATCAACCATTAAAGCGTTAAAGGTGTTTAAAGGTATCACTGTATAGATACTAAGTCTTGTGTTTAGAAAAAAGATTATGCAATTTCTAAAACTGCAAGCTTTGGAAGAAAGAGTATAGAATGCCGAGGTTTGCTCAGAATTGTGATAAATACATAAAGAAAAGTAGCAGCAATATATATATGTGTAAGACTGATTTGGCAGCATACACAGGCATTAAATATAAACAAATTTGCTTTTGTAATTACTGGTTGTATTCTTAGATTTCTTATGTACCTATTACTATACAAATCAATTAAAAGGATATAGCACACTTTAAGGGGTGCGCTTTTCAAAGGCAGTTTTTCAAACTATTGCCAAGTAACAATTTTAATTTCTAATGTGAGTAACAAATGCTAGCTAGTAATTTGTGGCAGGTAAAATTTTTGATGTTGAATGATATTTTGTAGGCTGCTGGCTGATATAATGATTCACTTTCCAACCAGTCAAGAAGAAGTAACCTTATCAGTTACTCCAATGAAAGTTTGTTTCAAGAGTTACACTGAGGAAGACACGGGTAAGGAAATGCAAAATATGAACGATATTGGGACTTCAAAGCGGGTGAACTAAAGGAACAATAACTATTGCAACATAAACAGAGAATGCATTTTATGGCTGAATGAGATTTTTAAGAGAGGGAACATACATAGAGAGATTTTTAAGTCATACTGCCACCCTCTTGTTTTAATATATTTTAAGAAAGTATGTTTTTAATAACATTTTCCTGCTATCAGTGGCAGATACCAGACTCATCAGCCAATTGAAATAAATTATGCCACTTGCTGTAGGCTTAAACAGAGGTAATTACTGTGCTGCAAGAGCAGCAGCATGGCAACAGACAGGAAAAAGGAGGTAATTTTATGTTTTAAAAAGGAGTTAAATCTGAACACCGTAATTATAGAATTGATATCATTACGGAGTGTATTTTAGTATAAGGGCAATACAGTGTGTTAGCTGGCCTAACACTGTTACGCTACATGCTGCCATTTTCAGATCTCCATCTGAGATGGAGAATAATCTAGATTCTTGGTGTGTGACTCAAACTAATTTTAAAGATATAATTGTGTTTCTGAAGTATAGGTTCTTGTATATCATATAATAAAGGGATGCTTTTCATGCTTGCTTGTGACCAAAGCTGAGGATAATGACCTAGAAAAAGATGACTGCCTAGAGCGTAGGGGTGGGGATTGTGCTGAGAACAGGCTAAAACAGTGGAGAGCAAGAAGGATTAAGTGGTGGAAACTGACTGGAGCAAAATGGGGAAGAAATTACTGAAAATAAAGACACTAAAAAGATTACATTTTGAATGACAAATTTTGTTATTTTAGAAACATACAAGTGTTATTGTAAGAAAGAAAGTGAAGAAAATAGGAGGTAAAAATTTAATGAGATACCAAAAATACAAACGGTCAAGGAGAAAAAGGAGGAATTACAAGCATTGTTCTTGTTGTGTAGCATGTGATGCAGTATACTGCCTGCAGCAAATGTTCTGTGTGCCCTGAAACAAAACGTGTCCTTTGAACATATCGTCTGGTGATGGCTTGGGTTTTTCCACATTCAGGTTTAATTTTCAAAGAAAGAAATTACACCTTCTGCCTAGACTTGTTTTCATTTGCATGCGGTAGGCTCTGCCTTGCAGAAGCTGGCAGATGTGTTACAAGTATGTATTTCTAGAGTTTTAAGGAGGTTTACAAGAGTACATTTGAACAGGCAGTGGGGCCTTGTTGAAGGCTGAGAGGAAAAAAACCTCTTGAGCAGAGAAACAGAAGACTGGAACAGTTTGTAATACTTCGTTAGCAGCCTGGCTTTGGAAGAGAACTGGATAGGTGTGTACTGTTTAAGCTGCTGTAGAATTTTTCTGAATGCCTCTTGAGACCATAACGCATCATGGAAGTACCCTCTTGCTTTCTTCTCACATACCCAATAACAACTACGGACTAATCTAATGATAACAAGCGACAATAGAACACCTGAAACTGAAGAGCCTGTTTCCTGTTGCCACTTACGTATCAGGAAAAGATTATAATTTAAAACAAAGACCCTAAGTCCACCTTCATTGTCCTCTGATGATTGTCAGCAATTATGATTAATCTGTTAAAGTCATGCGGCATTTTGGTCTTCCTATCTATGCAACAATAAGCAGCCGGTAATACTATTTGTGATGAATGCCTGTTGACAAAGCAGCTTTGCAAGAATGACAGCAGGTATCAGGTTAGATTACACAGTGGAACATAAAATAGATTCTGTTAAAAGCCATTTAAATCTACATAATATACTGTAAATAAATAGAGGATTTTATTTTACTTAATTATGAAATAAATTTAGATAAGCTAAACATTTATTACTGTTAGTCACTATAAAATTACAATTATTTGTTCAAACAATGCTGATGTAAAAACCTCATGGTTATAATCATAGTTTTGTTGAGTTCAAACTTCACTCCTTTGAGTCCTTGGCTTGCTTGTTATTTTAAACAGATTTTTCGAAGACGATGCTTACTGAAATACAACTAAATCCAGATGAATTTGACTACTTTCAAGTTGGAGTAGATTCTGAAGTGACGTTTTGCCTTAAAGAATTGAGGGTAAAGTAAGAATTTGTCTTGAAAATAAAACATTTCCCATTAATTTGCCTGACTTGCTCAGGACAACGCAGAATGGCCTTGGGAAGTGTTCCACCAGGCCTCCTGACCAGCCGCAGTGTTTCACCAGCTGGTTGAGGATTAGCTTTGAAAACCAGGATCTTCAGGACACTGTGGACTCCCTCACAGTAGCATTTGAAAGGCAAGCGAAACATTTTTAAAACAACAAAAATGTAGTTTCAGTGCTGGGCAGACACACTATAACCATACTGGTGAAAGCACCATGGCTACAGAAGTTCTCCATGCAGAAGCTCCTTTGGCAAAGCTCCAGGCAGGGAAGGCAAGAAACATATTCTAGAAGCAGTAGACTTTTACCCTCTTTTTGCCACTAAACAACAGCTGGGATAAACTTATATTCTAATATTGATCTTCTGTTTTTAAAACAGCACTTAACCACCTATCCCTTCTTTTCAGGGACTGCTAGCATTTTCAGAAGCTACCAGTGTTCCTGTCTCAATCCATTTTGATGTATCTGGAAAGTATGTTTTGGAACATACCGAACTAGAACTACTGCAGTTACAACTCTACAGTCAGTTTTTGTCTGCAGGTTACTCAATGAATATTTAACTGGAACAGTAAAATAGATTTTCATTTCATACCAAAAGCTGCATTTCTAATCTGCGATGCAGGGTTAAGTAGTTTGTTATTATGCATAAAGCGTTTAACATAGGCACCAGCATTACTAAGCTAGCCATGCCAACTAACGAGCACCTACATTGAAGTTACCTGGATGCTTCAGGTTCTCAGTCTAATGCATGCAATTATTTTATTTAGTAGTCTAAAGAAACAATATATTTTCTGTTTAAAATATAATTTTAACAGTTACATATTTGAAACTATAATTTGACTAAGTATAATATTGTATAGCGTTTACTCGTTGGTGCATTTAAATCTGTAACAGGGAGCCATCTCATATTCTTCAGCAGCAAATATATCGATTTTCAGCTTTTCACAGAGGCACTTTTTAATCTTTATGTATAGAATTGCATGGGCTGTATTTTCTCCTACAATATGTGTCATTATACATGCCGTCTTAGTCTCTGAATATTTGTGTTTAGACCAATTGCTTTCAGCATTGAAGATATGGTGCTGGAAGCCAGCTTCATTTTGGCTACCTTGTCTGATGTTGAAAAGGAGACAGCTTCCCAGCAGCCTCCCGACTTTTCACAGCGGCAGGAGAGGTGACAGTGGGCTTCAGGGGCGGGTGAGGGAGGCAGACTGCCTTAAGAGGATGAAAAACTGAAATTTAACATCTTCCAGCCAAGTCAGATTTAAGATGGAGAGGAAGCGATCTGCTCATTCTTGCAGGGTATTGGTAAGCATTGTACAGATCCTGGAGTCTTTGTTCATAGGAAAACTGTGAACTAGACCAAGTTCAGGAACATCTCGACATCATGTACAGCAACAGAACTTGGTGCAACAGCGAGCACTCCGTGCTAGCTTCTGCTTTCCTTTATCTCTGCGGGGTTCTGTTGCAGTAGGAGGGGAAGGGAAGATACTTGTTAAGAATCTGTTCGAAAGCCATGATGCTTTTCATTAACAGAAAATAAAGACATTCTAACAAAAAGACATACAAGCCAGTTACTAACCTGACCTGCTCTCCCCAATCCAGCTCGAAGACCGGTATGGGTAAATCTGGGACAAATTCCATGGATAAAGACAGCAATGCAGAAGCAGTTGCTTCCAGAAAGCCACCATGGGATGGAATTGCACCAAACACAGAGCCAGCAAAACCTGTGAGTCTTCTGGCAAAACAAGAGATCAAAAGTATTCCCAGAGTCACGACGAGAGAGGTGACAGGCATGGAAGGAACAGCCATGACTGAGACAGAGGGCCATGCAATGCTGGGAGGAGAGGCAAGAGAGTCTCATTATCAGAAGGTAAGGAGACTCCCAATTGTATTTACAGTGGAATACCTCAGCTGGTATTTAGCAGAATGCTATGTGTAGCCTGGGGGTTACTGCATGTTGATATTCAGTTCTGCACGTGGTGTTTCAGCGGAACTGGCTTTCACAGCAGCACAGCTGGCAAAAGAACACCACTACCACATTTAACTGTAATGCTGGAAATATTTGCAGGTGGCAGGTGTATTTTACTAGGAGACACTGTAAAGATTTTAAAGTTGCAAAAGCTTCAGAAATAATTAACCTCCAAATTCTGCATCATGTGGTTTCTTACTTCTATAAACGTTGCATTTTCCAGTTTCATTCCTTATTCTTTGGAGCAGTTTCTTGTAAGGAGGATGCCATCAGCCACACCTTCCATAGTTTAGCAACAGCTAGCGACACCGAAGAGGATTTTGGCAACGTGCAGAGCTCCCAAGTTCTCTAGTGACATGAAGTGTTTGAATCCACGTAAAGACTATTGGGGATTGCCTTGAAAGATGAAAGTGTATTTGACACAGTAATTGTGGAGCTATTTCTAGTTTTAGAAAGAAGTTTAATTGCAGTTCTTCAGGTTAGAACTCGATGGAAGCTATTTGTATTCTAAGCTTGTGTGGTAAACTGTGGTTCACAAATACCTATTCAAGTCTGGAAAGTGGAAATTCTGCTCAAGTGGTGCCTGTTTCTTTTTTCTGCAAGAGCAATACACAAAAAGGACAAAACTCACCTCAATACTGAGTACTTTATCAGTTTCTGCTCTGTCAGTACAGATTAAGTGTTTATTCACTGTTTACGTTCACCACCACCCCGGGTCATTCTAAAACTGGGAGCTGCTGTCATCATGCAGTATAAATTTAGGTCATGATTGACTAGGTTGAGGTTTGTGTACTATGTATTCTGTAGGCAGACTGCTTTGGATGTTCAGCTCTCAGTACATTTGCACTGGAGAATTCAAACTGCATTACCACTTCAGGCAAATTAAGCTGCTGTTGTAAAATTACAAGCTGGGAAAATAAACCCATCCACCCTGCCACAGCCAAACACATCATTGCTGTAGAATAGCCGGTATTTTCACAGAAAGTGTGTAGAAGTAGCATTTAACTGAATAACCAGAGGTGTTATAAGTCACACTAGAATAAAATACCAGAATTTCCAGTCTTTGGTCCATTAAAAGATCGTTATTCTGTCTGCCAAACTGTTACAAATGAGTTTTATGGTGTCGCTCTAATACACCTTCTCTAAATGAGAGCCCAACACCCCAAGTATTGGTGCATCACTGCATTAACAGAGTTTGTGCAATCAACTTTACTTTAAAAAACACATTTTAGTATAAATACTATATTTATTAAATATCTTTACAATTCATTTAAATGTATTTACAGAACTATTCCTGCATAAGTTATACCTCAGACATGAAATTCACATAATCGCCTCTTAGGTAAGCATAGATGATAGTCTCATTTTAACAACAACAAAAAAGCATCCTCATTAGATACAGACTCAGATTTACTTCGTTATTTCAGCTATCTTTGTAAGAAACTACTTCATACAGTCAGTTTCTACACAATCAACCGAGTTTTCTCCCTGGAGAAAGGATGTCCATTACTGAGAGACAGAGATTCCATCACAAAATCCTTCACGTCTCTGCCAGACCTTTGCCTCTCCCTTCTCCTTGACTCAGTCATAACTGGTCCCAAAATCTGTTTTTTTGTGGGTTTTGGGGTTTTTTTCAGCCATACCTTCTTCATAAACACAAAGAAAGTACATTTAGAGTGAAACTGTATGTTGCAGGTCTCCCAACGATAGCCATAGAAGTAGCAAGGAACCACAGAGTTTTTCCAATTCACCACATCTTAGCCCTGTATTACCCAAATACCTAGTATCGCTGCTGCAGAAATCCCAGCTCCTGCCAGTCCTGTGATGTTACACAGTTACTGGTGTGTAAAACTCTTCCTTTTCCTTCAGGTGGCTGCTCCCGATAACACACACACACCCCCCCTCTGCAGCAGGTGAAAGCCAACCTGTGCTCCACTCACACACACTTCCATTTCACAGCACACCTTTCTTGTATGCCTCTCTCATGAATAGTCACAATAATCTAATTCCTAGCAAGTGTTACTGCTTCATGCATCATTTAAAATTATTTTGATAGTATGGGCCCTGTCATTTCCTTTTCCAAAAATTGGTTGTGCGCAGACAGCTTAAGTTCATAGGAAGAAATTAGGTTTGATATGTTGAGTGCACATCTTTTAAAAAAAAACAAAAACAAAAACAATCAAACATGTGATAAAAATATCAATTCTTTATAATACAGTATTGCTTTATAAACAGATGGAAAAGCTATAAGCTTTACTGGTCTTTGGTGTGTCCGGTGAGGGATAAACTCATGATTTGCAAAACAAAATCCAAATTTGTTCTTTATTAAAAAAAAAGAAAAAAAAAAATCACAATGTGATATGAGGCAAATGGCTTTGTTGATACTGCTCAGCTAAGAACAGCTTTAACAGAGCGCCAGGCTCGGCGCCGTGCTGCCAGGCAGCACAGTTCAGTTCCAGAGAAGCCAGCCGAGTCTCTCCGCTCGCTTGGGGATTCCAGACCCCAGCCCAGCAGCGGTGGAGTACAGCGCACACAACACCTCCCGCAGGGGTAAGCACCGTCGCTGTACTCATCTATCTGATCCGCATACATCTCCCAATGTATAGTTCTAGAAAGTGGGGGGGGGGAAATAACGAGGGCTGGGGATGAGCATGCTGAGAACGAGGGGTCAGACTGCAACACAGTCCAGGTCTGCAGGGGCATCATTTTAAGGTAAGTTCAAGGGAAAGAATCATTGATCAAATCTGCTCTAATCAAGAAGCGTGACAGTGAATACTGGAGAATAAAATGTAAAGACACCCAGATTTGAGAGAGAAATGCCCCTCCCAAATGCTAGAAACAAAGCCCTATACTGCAGTGTGAATACATTCCTTCTAATGAGACAGCTAGACACAGCTTGTTCAATTTTAAAAAACAACAAGGACTGACAATTTGTGCAAAGTTATCCACCACTCACTGCTCCATGGATCGCAAAACTAATTAATTTTTCTTCATTAATATAATCCTCCCCATACCCTCACCAAAATAATATTTTGGTCAAGTTCGGGTAGTTAAGGCATTTTGACAAGTAGTTACAAGGTGATTTAAAATAGATAGCTAACATTATGCCAATTTAGGAATAGCAGATAAATTACTGAAGAGCTTCCAAATTAATCACTTATTATAAATGAAATGCCTGTTACAAGCATGATGCATTGAAATATAGTAAAATGACATGTACATGGTACATGTTAAATGACCTTAAATAAAAGCTTAACATAGTTACGCAAATATACAGTACAAGTCCACAAAAATTCTTTAAACAAGTTGAGGTAACCTCAAACTTAAACAGTTTTAATACAATAAACCAGGTAGTAAAAATCTCCTTTTGAGAGCAGGTAAGATTACTTACTGACCAAGTTTAACTGCACTCACCTAAACAGCAACATTACCCGACTTTTTATATATAAAAACATGGCTTTAATTTATTTCTACATACTTTTCTACCAGCAAAAAAGTTAATGAAAAACTGACCAAAAATATATATATCTTTACAGCTATCAGCTTTTTGTATGAACCTCGGGAAAGAAAAAGGAAAGCTTGCTGGAACGGGGGGAACAAATGTAAGCTACTGTAATTCAAAAGGAAATGTAATATTGCAAAGTGGCTGTTAGATAACTGTAAACATCATTAAGGTTCATTCTGAAAACCCTAAACTTTAGTTACTGAAATGTAAGTTTTGCTGATTATTCATTAATGCTTTCCATTTATGCACTTAACTGCTGCTGCCACAGCATAATCAAAGAGGTGCTTGTTTGAGAGTCAGAAAGATAAGGATCAACTGGACTTCAACTGGTGCAGCATATTCTGTTCTACACAAGCAAGAATGGCAATTACTAACACAAATCATGTTTCATTAACAACAGAATTATCTACCAAAAGTGAAGACGTTCAGAGTTGAGGATGATCTGTTCTTTGTGCAACCTCCCACTGTAGCATTTACGCCATATCAGCCCGCACTGGTGAGATGGGCTAAAATGCTGAAAGGACCTCAACTTTGGCCAGCTCGGCTTTTTGAAACAGAGTTAAAATTTTTGTTAAAAAAAAAATTATCCACAGCCAAAACATCCAGATACCAGGCCCATTACGGACAAATGATCTGCAGAACTTTTAAGATCACAGTTAAGCACCTGAAATCACAAAACACATTTGCATCCATATAATTTGAACTAAATATGGTTTTTGAAATTTTGTACTAGAAAAGTCTCCTAGGCTGACACCATGTATGGCAAGAGCAGAATGTTTACAGCAGTTATAAATCTCCTGAAAACTGGAGCTTAGAAACACGAAACCTCAGCTACCACTGTAACAAGACTATGCTTATGAAACTGTGTTCTGTAACATACCCTTTAATGAATAGTGAACGTTTCTAGTAAATAGAGTAATATGCCCTCTTGTAGAGGTTTTATCTACTGAATCTAGTTTGAAAGATGATAAACCAATCCTACTCCTTTGAAAGTAAGTCACATTTCAAATGCAGTAACGACGTGGGATTGATCTCCCCCTTTTAAGGACAATGACTAAGCTCTGAAAAGACATGCTTCAAGCCTTGAGCTTCTTCATTTCTTGCTGGCAGACAGAGACCAGTGTACTACAAGAGTGGTTCTTAACAAGGACTTCAGTTGCGTCTCAAGACAGGCAACGAGCTGGAGAACCGGCTGCTGAGATCAGGTGCGAAGGAAGAAAGCAATCCTGCCAGCAGGAAACCGTACATGTGAAGCTAGGAGCTCGGGGATAACGAAAACGTCAGAAGCTGACACTCTGGGCAGATCAGTCTGTATACTCAGCTACAATAGAAAGAAGGACGGTGATGTCATCTGGTTTTCCCCCTGTAATATAAGAAAAGTAAAATTATTTCTTCAAACCACAGTGGGTCATCTTCTTATAATCTGTGACATTCCCCCACGGAAAGCTCTTTAAAAAAAAAGTTTAAATATTCAAAAACTTGTTTTGTGTAGGCACAAGAACTCTGCTCCCTCTACCTCCTTTCCAAAATGCAAATGAGGGTAGCAATGACATTTAACACAGCAAAAAAACGCTCTCCTTTTAATAGTTTGTGATCTCACTGTAGCTTAAAAGGAGTACAGAACCTTGAACATTGTTGTTAGCGAGTAGAGCAGAAAGCCCGGTTTTTAGCACACTATTTATTTAATAAACATACAAAAACCCTGACATTGTTTTGTTACGAGCAGGTGGCAACAAAGTCAGTATCTTCTCAGGAATTTCTGCTGTAAATCAAACACCTCTTTGGCATCTTCTCCAGCACTATATTACTGCATCTCTTTCTAAAAGCTACTTAACATTTTTAGTAGTTGCTTTTCAAACCTCAACAGCTAGAGCAAGACACTC